TCCAGGGCAGGTCGCACCTTGTGGGCAGGGGGACAGGACCAGACACCGTGGCGCCGGTAGTCTTGGCGACATCCAGGATGGCATCCACGGCCACCTGCAGCAGGTCCACCCAGTATGACTTCAGCTTGATCCGGATTTTCTGCTGGGGTGCGGGGGGGGTGGGGGGCAGCCGAGGCGACCTCCTGCTCCTCAGCCACAGCTCGGGTGATGATGCAGCTCGACATGCGAGGAGAGCAGCTGGATTTATGGGTGACGTTTGGCACGAAGCATGGGCCCATGGCCCTGGCGCGCTGGAGGAGCAAGGGGGATCGAGGGGCGGGGGAGTGCCCGACACCCACAGGCACCCGGGCCTGACCATGGGGGACGAGCACGGAGGCGCTCATCGCTGCACTCCCGTGGTTCAATATATGGTACCTGGGCAACAAGACTGGGAAGGTTTCGACGCGGTGCATGGCAGGGGTGGTGGTGTTTCACCCCGGCCTGGTGCAATCCGGTAGGGTGTCCTCTCTTTCCACCTGGCATAGAACTGTTTGCGGGGGGTGTTGTCCGGTGCGGGGGCCAAGTCCCGCACCCGAGGGCCCCAGCACTCGATGCATGCGCACCGATCATCTCGTTGCTGTTGTCCTTTCAAGCCTGCCTCCGAGCCATCCCTCCTCCCGCCGAGTGGTCGGGCCGGAGGTCAGATCAAGTTGGGCACGGCAGCGTGTCCAGCTGGCGCGCCCGAGCCTGGCGTACCAGCCCTGCTCGCCGCGCCTGTCTGAACATCTAGCATAGCCTGCTCGAAATGGCTGCACGGGAGGCCGCCCACGAGCGGGTGTCCACCTTCCTGGTGTCCTCCGACAGGGCCCAGGCCAGCGGCAACGAGATACGAGAGGCCCTGGAGTCCAGCAACGATGAGGCCAAGGTGGAGGCCATGGAGAAGGCCATCGCCGCCCTGCTGGCGGGGGAGCAGCTGCCAGCCCTGTTCATCACCATCGTGCGCTATGTGCTGCCATCCGAGAACCACCAAGTCCAGAAGCTCCTCCTCCTCTACCTTGTGAGTGGGGGTGGGGCTTTATGGGTGTTTGCAGCCATTGATTTGGAGGCTGTGCTCGTGCTGTCGTGATTGTATGCTGCTGAGCTTGTTGCTGAGCTTGTTGCTGGAGCACTGGAAGCGGGCAGCCAGACAGGCGGGCTGCCACGGGCCTTCCGGTACCACTCATACAGCTCAACTCCATGGCACCCCTCGTTTCCCCTCGCCCCCCCAGGAAACCATCGAGAAGACGGACGCCAACGGCAAGCTCCTGCCCGAGATGATCCTGATCTGCCAGAACCTGAGGAACAGCCTGCAGCACCCCAACGAATTCATACGGGGGGTGACGCTGCGCTTTCTCACCCGCATCCGCGAGGAGGAGCTGCTGGAGCCCCTGGTGCACTCAGGTGCTCGCCGGGACAGGATGGTGTGTATTGTTGGTGTAATCCAACAGTCATGCTGCATGTCTCCCGGGAGGAGGGTGCAATCCCCCCGCAGTCCGCCCCTCCTGTGCCGCCCTCCCTCATCAGCAACCCCCCCCTTCCTTTCCAAGCGCCTCCCTAATGTCAAAACCAAAATCGCAGTGCTGGCCAACCTGGAGCACCGGCACTCGTATGTGCGCAAGAACGCGGTGCTGGCCCTGGATGCCATCTGGAAGCTGCCGCGCGGGGAGCTGCTGGCCCCCGACGCGCCCGAGGTGGTGGAGCGCCTGCTGGCGGGCGAGGCGGACCTGTCCACGCGGCGCAACGCCTTCCACCTGTTGGTCAACCACGCGCGCGACCGGGCCGTGGCGTACCTGCTGAGCAACGCGGACCGCGTGGCGGAGTGGGGCGACGTGCTCCAGATCGCGGCGCTGGACCTGACGCGCCGCGTCTGCGGCGACGACCCCGCCCAGCGCCCCCGCTTCCTCAAGGTGGTCCTGGCCCTGCTCCAGGCGCGCAGCACGGCGGTCGTGTACGAGGCGGCGGTGACGCTGGTGGGCCTGAGCTCCGCGCCGGCCGCGGTGCGCGGCGCGGCGGCCACCTTCACCTCGCTGCTCGCCAGCCAGTCGGACAACAACGTGCGCCTGATCGTGCTGGACCGGCTGGAGGAGCTGGCGGCGCGGCACCCGGAGGTAATGCGCGAGGCGCTGATGGGCGTGCTGCGCGCGCTGGCCGCGCCCGACCTGGACGTGCGGCGCAAGGCCCTGGACCTGGCACTGGACCTGGTCACGCTGCGCAGCGTGGAGGAGGTGGTCGGCGTGCTGCGCAAGGAGGTGGTCCGCGCCGCGGCGGCGTCGGCGGGCGGATCGGGCGCGGCGGGCGACGCCGACGGTGGCGCCGAGTACCGCGCGCTGCTGGTCGCGGCGCTGCACGCCTGCGCCGCGCGCTTCCCGGCCGTCGCCGGCGCCGTGCTGGACGGGCTGGCGGACTTCCTGGGCGACGCCAGCGCGGCGGCGGCGCTGGACGTCGCGCACTTCCTGCGCGAGCTGGCGGAGACCAACCCGGAGCTGCGCCCCGCCGCGCTGGACCGCGCGATCGAGGGCTTCCCGGCCGTGCGCGCGCCGCGCGTGGCCGGCGCGGTGCTCTGGATCCTGGCCGAGTACTGCACGTCGCGCGAGGACATCCACCGCGTCATCCAGCTGGTCAAGGAGTGCGTGGGGCGGCTGCCCCTGGTGCCCGGCGAGGGGGAGGAGGCGGCCGACGGTGGCGGTGAGGAGGGGCGGGACGCCCCCGCCTCCCCCGCCGCGGCCTCGGTGGCGGGGCCCATCGCGCGCTCACGCCCCGCGGTCCTGGCCGACGGCAGCTACGCGACGCAGACCGCGCTGCCCGGGTCGCCACACGGCGGCGCCCTCGCCGGCGGCCACGCGGCCGCGCCGGGCGTGCCGCACCTGCGCGCCGCGCTGCTGGCCGGCGACGGCTTCCTGGCCGGCATCCTGGCCGCCAGCCTGACCAAGCTGGTGCTGCGCCTGCGCACGACGCGCGCGCTGCCCGCCCCCGCGCTCAACGCGCTGACCGCGGAGCTGATGCTGCTGGTGGCCTCGGCCCTGCGCGCGTGCGAAGCCGCGGCCGCCGCCGACGGCGGCGCCGGCGAGGGGCCCGACGCCGACGCGCTGGAGCGCGCGCCCGCGGCGCGCGCGTCCAGGCCCGACGTCGGCTCATCCATGAAGACGACCGAGGGGTTAGCCACCAGCTCCACCGCCAGGGTGAGGCGCTTGCGCTGCTCCACCGACAGCCCCGACACACCGGGGGAGCCGACAAAGGCGCCGCGCAGGCGGTCCAGCTCCACCAGGGTCATGACCTCCTCCACGAATGCCTCGCGCGTGGCGGCGTCCACCGTCGTGGGCAGGCGCAGGCGCGCGCTGAACTGGCAGGCCTCGTGCACGGTGGCCTGCGGGATGTGGATGTCGGTCTGCTCCACGTACCCCATCACCCGCGCAAAGGTGCGGTCCTGCTTGGGGTGCCCGTTCACGCGGATGTCGCCCGTAATCACGCCCTCCGTCTTGCGCCCCGCCAGCACGTCCATCAGCGTCGTCTTGCCCGCGCCCGACGCGCCCATCAGCGCCGTCAGCACGTGGGGGCGGAAGGCGCCGTTGATGTTCTTCAGCAGGCGCAGCTGGCCGGCGTGCGGGCCCTCGCCCCCCGTGTCGGCCTTGCCCCGGTCGAGGTCCTTTGGCAGGGGGACCGAGTAGCAGACGTCGCGGAAGGTGATGACCATCTGGGTGAAGGGCAGGGCGGTGCCGCGGCGGTACGCCTCGCCCGAGGCGAAGGACGCCGCCGCACGCTCGCTGGGGCGCAGCATCGCCGAGCTGGTGCGGCGCGTGGTGGAAGGCGCGCTCCCCTTGGGGGCATTGTTTTCCACGTCGGGGGTGGAGGCGGGTGGCCAGCCGGCGCCGGCGTTGGGCGGCGCCGCGCC